GGATTTCGAGGAATTGACATTCGAAGTAACTGGGACTGTTGCCTGTACCAAGTCCAATGACCTTATTTGAGTTCTTAAACATATTTTCACTCTCTGAAGATGTCTTTTTTCTTACGTACGATCTGGGGCGAGCTAGGCTTCGTTTATTTAAAATGTTACACAAAGACATAAAAATAATTGTACTTTTTTTTTAAAAGTTCACTTTAAATGTCATCATATCAAATTTAAACTGCGCAACTGGTATTGCAAAGAATTGAAAAATATGATCTCACCCACACACACACAGCTAATGGTAATGATGAGCTTTTAAACTGGTGCGCAATGTTTATTATTGTTTATTTGCTATTCATACAAAGCTAGACTTGTCACATCCACTGCTATAACAAGCGTCGCTGTACCTTAAGTATTTGTAGACATGATTGGGATAAATTTATTATACCATAACATTTGTGCAGCTGCCGTTATGATCGTAATAAACATTAAATCTCAAACAACTAGCCAACTGCAGGTGAATTTTTCTATTTCTTTTTTTAATTGTCGCACCAAAAAAGTAGGTTTACATCCTCATTCTGAGCAACGTCAAATCGACATCAAAAGACGCAAGCGTCTGTGTCATCTCTGTTTGTGCTTTTCGTGATTTCACATAAACTTGTTTTATAACAAAATTCGCAATCCAGAGTCTTCTTGCGACTATTGTTCTAGCAAACTGACAAAAATCTTGACGACAAAGAAAATATATTGTCGCTTGATACGACTAGTGACCGGTCACAAGGCCCGAACACAGCTGTTAGAGTTTTTATAATTTTCAATATTTTCTTATCATTATTTTGATGTCTAGGGTTTGCTTACAATAGCAAGAGCCTTGAATGAAATCGCGAAGAATATAGGGTCGAACCATCTGCTTGTCACTTTTAGAAATCATTATCATAGATCCGATATTAACGCAAACCGATTTAATGCTGTCTGTCTTTTAGTTCATACGTCTCTTCTTTCTTCTTAAAAGGCTCACGTTTGGAAAAGTTCGGACGGGGGAATTCAAATTTTTCACATACGATAAACTTTAGAAAATCATTCGTAATTTAAAACTTGTTGGTGGAAACAAGCACAGAAAGCGCTTAGTAGCCACCAAGAAGAAAATGAGTGGGAGGGTGTGATGCACATACAGCTCCGCTGATTAAGCCTCTGAGAGAGATATTAAACTAACAAGCCAGTTGGCCCCTATTGGTCAGTTGGTATGTCCTTAAATGAAACAATTCGCAACTAATCCTACAAAAGTAAACAAATTCTATATATTAGAAAGAATCAAATAAAAAACAAGTAAGTACATTATTCTCAGGCAAAGCCGACCTTTAAATACCCTACACCACATTTTCTAACTCTATTCTTATTTTTGTACGAAATCACTATTATGGGTCAATTTTCATCACCATATATTAAAACTTTGAGTTTTTTGCTGCACAAATCATCGATTTTCGTGAAAATTCTTATTGGAGTAGGATCGAAAAAGTAGACCAACATGGTCCAATTTTGGTACGGTTTATTTTTTTTCTTAAACTACTATTATGATATAACTTTCATCATGAAGCATAAAAAATTATACCTTTTTGTTGTATGAACTTTAGTTCTCGTTATATGAGAGGAGATTCAAAAATTGCCACAGCCAGTCCAAAATTTTCGTACCAATTTAGAATGCCGGAATACTAATAGTTAAAAAGGTCACTTCTGGCGAGAAATTTTGAAAATTGCAATTTTTTTCCATATAATGACTTTCCAGATGAGCGCCTTATAAGGCGAGTGATCGAAAAAGTGGACTGAAAATTTTTCAATAGCGTTCGTCCTTGGGTCAAAACACGTCACTAAACCATATATCATCAAAATACCTCAAAAATTAAATTCTGTAGTTTAACCCCAAAACATCATCAGACGGACAGACGGACGGAAAGGCTTAGATCAATTCAGATTATGATTCTGAATCGATCGGTATACTCAAACGTGGGTCTAGCTGAAGCCGTTCTGCCTATTACATACGACAGCATTAATTTAATATACCCTGTACCATAAGCGGTGTAGGGTAAAAATATCGTACAAAAAATACACAGTATGTAAATTGGCCTTCTTTTGTGGACTTGTACAAATTTCAACTGCTCTCAAGCTCTCGATTCATGTGTATCAATTTGTAAACAAATGGATGCCGTTTATAGCACTGCGTTTCTTCCTGCAATCAGAAAGCAGCTCAAGGCGCGGAAATAATGAAATTAGCTTGGAGTGAGAATGCAGTAAGTTATAAGAAAGTCATTTCTGAGATTTTATGCAAAAGGCTTTAGTCTTGAAGATTGGCATACGTCCCTTCATCTCCCGCAAAACGAACCAAGAAAGTGACCTACAGCTTGGGCTTGGAATTTATGCCGATTGTGTCAGACTTGTCTCTTTCTGATTAACGCGTATTCAGGTTAGTGCCCCCGTATTTAAAAGATCAGGAGTTCTCGATTGTAGTTGTAGATGCCCAAAAGTGAGTCGATGAGTGTATCACCACGAAACCGCTAAGTTTCAGTTGTGACGGCATTCATCACCTACCTGGTAATGGGTAAAAGACTCTGCACACTGATTATTTGGCTATTAATCTTGGTCAAGAGTACGTTTATGAATTTCATCAAAAAAAAAAAAAAAAAACGCTCAACTTCGACTTTGTATATCTAACATATTCTCACGGTTTTGAAGGGGTATTTTCTTAGAGAGTCTCTGAACATCGAAAGTCTCAACGCGTGAATTTTTAAAACCTTTAAATGAGAACTTTAGAGAATACTGCACTGTTCTATATGGAATCTCACGCTAGTTTTTCTCCCAAAACGGCAAAACTAATATAATTCAGTTCTCTGGCGGAATGAGAACAAAAAGTTATATCAGTATCTGATAGCTAATTCATATTTTAATATTAAGGGATTACAAGGGTTTGGAAGTTCCAAGGAATCCACTTTTTTATCTAATAGTACAACATGTGAAAGATATTTTCCAAAAATACCTAGTCAATCGGAGCAAAAGTCTAAAATAGAGAGCCTTTGCAAATTCGTACTAAAGTTCTTTCAAATTTTAATCGCCCTCTTCTTCAAACAGCAATTTCGAAGTTAGTGGACAAAATGCATCGACCTCATGAAAATTTTCCATACCTCTTCGAAATAGAATTGACTAGTCCTTCGATGACGCGGACTTTTCGCCTCCTTGAGCACAATTTATTTTACAAGCACAGGCTTTACCGAAAAATGTTCTTTCTTGCATACAACTCTGACAGAAATTCAAATTGAAATTTTTTCTAAATCCTTATATTCGGTTTTTGGTTTTCTGATGGCGTTATCACAACCTACAGGGTCCGTTACGAGATCAGTATTTTTTGGACAACCTCTGAAAATCAATTTTCAAATATTGTTTAAATTTTATTTTTGAATAAAATAATTCTTAAATAAGAAAAAAAAAAAAATTAGAAAAAATTTGCTTTTTGTCCTTTCGAAAACCATGCCTTAAAACTTAAATTCGAGTTAAAATCTTTTATTGCTAACCGCATCATTGACGGTGTGGAAAAAACAATAAAAAAAACTTAATTGTGAGTAAGCTTGTGACACCGCTGTAGGTGTTCCATTACATAAACACAATTTTATGTCCTAAAAAGATATATTTCATAAGTTGATGTCATGTAAAAGAATAAAAAAAAAGCCTTGCGTACG